TGTGTTTGCTGTCGACCAAAGACACATTTAAGCAATTAATTATATGTTAGATGAGGAAATAGGCCCTTTGTTTAATTTCCAACAGACACACATGACCGCCATATGTCGACAGAAGTTTCGTTACGAGTATCTAAATAATTAAATGTCTGGCTTGCTTAATTACACCAAGTAGTGTCTATCGAGCATGGCGGCTTCTTTTTAAACAATACAAGCGTTTTTGCTTTTTTGAAACGTATTCAATCCAAATCACGTTTGCTGAATAAGAAATCGCTTCAAGTTCGTGACATTTTAAGCATCACACTCGTTTATCGTAGCCTTCATCCTCTCCCCTTTCCCCCCTTTCTCCATTTCTGACCCTCGTGACCGACACAACTTGCACCTTTCACCGGCGACTGGGGAGGCTGCAACCCTCAGAACGGTGCCGAGAGCGCTAATTATTTTTTAAATTGATTAATTTTGTTCACTTACGACTCCACTCCTAAATGACTGATATGTTGGCCTGTCTCATAAACTTTAAATGTGTTCAGACAGGCAAACAATTTGTGCGCAAATAAATGCAATTTTACAATTAGCCATGCAAAAAATCTTTTAAATCTTTAATCTTTATTTAAGATCTGCCCGCAGGTTAGATATTATTTAAATTTTATGATACCTTCTGTCATGATGGTATGCGACTATATGAAAATTGAATATAGAAAAGAACACTATTTTTGCAAAAAATAATATTTTTATAGTCTGACCAAATTATGAATATTGAATTGCACAAATCTGTGTTCATTGAATTGCAATTCTTCTAGAGAAATATTTACCTTAAAAATTAAATTTTTATAATTAAATTAAAATACTTGTAAGCTAAATTAATTTAGAAATACATTTGTAATGACTAGCATAATAACTTAAAAGTAATCTTGTAAAATAAAATAAAATAAAATAAATATAAACACTTGATATATAGAAAACATTCTAAAAATTCAAATAATTTAAATAATGTTAAAATGCAATGCTTTTTTCTAATCGTAAGCCAAATTCAATTATACATGTTTCATAATTTTTGACAATTTTATGTAAATCCATAAAAAATAATGATCGGTTTGTAAATTGTTTGATGAACCTGAAATAAACTATTGTTTATGTATTAAGTATCGGGTTTCTATATCTTATACTAGGTGATCGGGTATGCTTCGCTACACAGTATTTTAGCGGGCTTTAACTACTTTGTGGACAATTCACATTTCAACATATAATTTTCTTTTTGTGTACGATTCATTTTTTGTTTTGTGACTCTACCCGCTACAAATAACATTCAACGCAATTTTATTATAATCCAATGAGCCCTCAGTAGTTTCGAACGAAAATATCGTAAATTAGTATGTTCAGCCCTTTTTTAGAATCATAATTAAATACTTCTTATTACCGGCAAACACATACACTTTCGTTCAACACTTTAAGAACCAGTTAACTAATTTCAGTCTGCATTTTTTTCAGGCTTACTTTTGATGTACATAACCAAAAACATGGTGAGTATTATTCAATAATAAATTTCTGAAAAATACTAATTAACGAACATAGGATAGTTTTATGTTTTAAATTATACCAAATTTCAGATACATGTAAAATTAATGATTATTGATTAAAAACGGTTTAGTAGTTTTGGATTTTATCAATGACAAACATTGTGACAAGAGATGTATATATATATAAATATATATTTAGAATATAGATAGATGTGTTATATACATAGAAAAACACATTGGCGAAGGTACATATATAGGCCTTCCTTGTACTTCCTTGTGAATGCTCTTGAAGCGCTGCAGTAAATTATTTTTTTGAAACATCCTCAACAGGCGATAAATCGATGTCGTCATCCGGTGCACTGGCACTACATTGATTCCTTCTTTTGGGTGCAACGATCTAAATCGTCACATCCTAAATACCATCCCCCCACTTCTCGGTTACACAAACAACCTCTCGAGATATGGATTTGTCCCACTCGTGTTACGCGTACATTGTTGTGTCCGAAAGGTGATCGATTATTCGTAATTCATGTCACATGGGCACTACGTAGAAAAAACTGAGCACTTTTACAGATGTTTACACGACAACCCTCCTCAGCCATTTGTCCGCGTTTTGATGGTCAAAGGCAATTCCCAGGCGGCACAAGTCACAATTTCCCGCAATCGCTGACGACCCCACAATGCGAATTGCCGTTCGACCAACCCATCGCCCGCCGAAAGGAAATGTAATGTCCGTAGTCTGGGCGACGACATAATTTGCTTTGCTTAATTTCTGTTACGTTTTGGTATTTTTATTGCCATTTCTGGCAGTTAGTTTTGCAAGACAGACAGCAACAACAAGCAATCAAGTGTCCAAAAGCCAAAGACGTTAGTGTTCCTTGTTTCAATCCGGGCACGACCCACTGCAATGGATCGAAAGTTAGCGGCGAGTCGAAGCCAGCGACCCATTTGACCAAAGGCTATGTAACATGCCAAATGTGTCCCGGAATTTAATTAAACATTTTCTGCGCTTATTCGTTTATACATTTCACTTCGACTGTAGCTGTAGCTGTGGATGTGGATATGGCACCACCCCTGTCCCCTGCCCCCGCCCACAACAAACTGCACTCACTACAATATCCAACCCACTAACCATCCGAAATTCTTGGCAGGAATTGAGGCAGAGGGTTGCTATTGATTCTGACCCCTAGCCGCGCTCCGCATACACTCTCTGTCTGTCTGTCTGTCTGTCTGTGTGTCTGTCAGTGGGGGTGTCCTGGGTGGGGGCATGGGGTCGGATGTCGGCCTGCTCGAGGCATGGGCAACCAATGGAAGGTTATTGACATATTTTAACAACTATTTGCAAAAGGCTTTAGTTTCACTTCAACTGAATTTCTATTCCTTCGCCCATTCGCTTTTTTACGCATAATTGAAACGAGTTCAAAATGTCTTTATCGTTCCAGTCGCCTGTCGCTTGTCGGTTGTCGGTCCTCCACCCCTCCTAGCCCTAGCCCCTAACTGGTCTGTCTTTTGGTCCATCAAGCGGACTGGCATTTGTCGCTGGTTGAGGCCCGTCCTCTGGGTTGGTTGTTTGTTTGTCTGTTTGCTTCCATGTTCAAATGTCCTCGCGGCATCAATATTTGTATCCTTGCAAATACATGCTCGCATTCAGCATTTGCCATGTAAATACTGTTATTTCAATTACTTGATAAAGGGGCGAGCGAGCGAGCGAGCGAACGAGCATTAAAGGAATTGCATCACTCGGAACATTGTCTGTTTACACATTTATTTGAAACATCTTTGGGCCAAAGTCTGCTTAAACAGCATTATGAAATAAAGGAGGAACCACATACTACGTATACTACAAGTATATATTAAATTTGAACGACTCCAACCACCCCCCATTGTTAACGTAACAGCAAGTCCACAATTTAATTAACCAGAGAATTATTGGCTTGGGACTTTTAAGGAGCTTGACTTGCTCGGCACAAAATCTCACCTTAATTAAGTAATACTTAAGTCACATCTCGTCTCGGTTGTAGGCGCTAGGCAACCGTTCGTTTTACCGCACAGAACAACTGAACCGAGTCATAAGATACATATTTTAAACGTACTATATACTCGTATATGATGAATTGCACACAAAAGCGGCTCTCTATCTGTACCTCCAGAGGCATTAGGATGTTAAGCTATTTATAACATGAACAATGAACAGCATTAGCCAGTCAGTGATTTGGTGAAAAGTAAGGTTGGCATAAAAGTGACTTTAAAATTATGTACTCTCTAGGTTATACCTACAAACTTCGGTTCGTGATATCCAACTAAAGTTATAAGCATAAACTTAAATTTCTAAGTACAATTTCTCTAAGAATTCAAATAGTTATTCTTAACTAATTAAATAGGTATGAAATTATCTGCAAAAAATTCATGTATAGTATACGATATAGAAGGAAGCAAGTTGGACATCTCGCGAATATAAAATTCCATATGTCAATGTATGCCGCAATTTTCCTCTCAGATGATTCTAATAGCTCCATGCTTCATTATATTAAATCCTGATTTTGCGGCTATAAATGGCATTTTGGAGTGTCGCAGGATTATAGCTTTCTTTATAAAGTTTCAAGCTCGGCATTACAACCTATTTATTGGTCTTAACGCACAATTCAATTTTCAAAATACATAGGAACACATATGGTAGTTCGTTTTCTTGTTCTATCAAAATAAAAAAATAATTTTAATTGTAATGATGATAATATTTATTGTGAAAACGGAACAATAAAATTAATTTCATTTAAGTTTCATTTAATTTTTGATTCGAGGTGATGTCGACGAGAGAAAATAATTATTTATATCTTCATAAATAATATTAAATATTAACTAAAATATGTTGTATCCAATATTTTACTAGATTGTTGCACAGGGTTTTTAAAAATGGTATTCTAAATTTTAGCTTCTTAGATAAAATACTATATTGTGAGAAAAGTACAAAAAATTAAGACAATTGAAAAGGTCAGAAGCCCAGAAATATTTTTGGGTGTTATGTCCGCAAAAAATTGGTCATAATGTCCAACTCATTGTCGGTCGCTATAAGTCCTCGTACGTTGTGTTTTCACAACAACTGTAAATGAATTTGCAGTTCCCTTTTGAGCTGATCCCGGTAGGTGTGTGCTCTTTTTGTTTGCAAGATTAAAATGCATAGCAGGAGAACAGCAAGTGATGTCTCTGTCGCCCAACCAACGCATGAGGGTAGGAACGCATACATATGTTCACATTTGCATACATACATTCATACTTGTATGTATGCGTGCATGCATACTCTCACTTGAATATGCATGTAACACAAAATTAATATGGCCGTACATACATACATACTTGTACGTACACATATGCATTTGACATAATTATCATAAAGTCGTATCTTGAATTGAGCAGCACGTCTGCTTACTCTTCTTCTTGCGCCCTTCTCCCATGACCAAGCACAGGTAGCGGGTCATTTGTAACGGCAACGCGAATATGAGGCAAAGCAGAGCGCAATCAACGTTTGCGTTTGCACAAACAACGTACTGAGAGAGCCGCTTGTGCTTATGCTTGTGCTTGAGTGCGTCTGTGTCTGGTGTTCTCTCTCATTTTGCCCATCTTCCTTATGTGTGAGTGTATGTGTTTGTGTGATTGTGTTTTACCGTAATCTGTTCTCTTCGCATTTGCGCATGCAAGCTTGTGCTCAGAGCATTGATTACTCAGTATTTCGCTTGTGCTCGAGCAGTCGACAACTCAGCAAAGAGTGAGAGTACAAGAAAAGCCTGCCAGATGAATGCACGCGACCGCGTGTTCTGGACCGAATTCCTGCTCCTTTATCGATCACTACCGGCCGTATGGAAGGTCAAGAGTCCGGAATATAGCAGCCGTGCTTTGAAGACGTCCAGCTATGAAAAGTTGGTGCGCAAGCTGCGCGAAGTCGAGCCCGACGCCGACCGAGCACTGGTGGTGAAGAAAATAAACTCGTTTCGAACAAATTTTCGTCGCGATTTGCGCAAACGGAACGCATGCGCCGATGACGAGCATTTCGAATCGACTTTATGGTACTTTGAGCTGCTCGGCTTCCTCGAGGGACAGGAGGAAGAGGTCGAGACGAGCCACAAGAGCGGCAAACAGCTGCGCAGCGGCCAGCAGGAGCACTCGGACAGTCAGGAAGAGGAGTCGGTGGTAAGTACAAATACTTGGTAGGAGCAAGCAAATCTTGTACCTAGATGAGATCACAAATTTTAAGGAACTGTCATCAATGTATCGATCCATATCTGAAAGGAGGGGAGATTCTGTTCATGCTCATATTAAATAAACCTTTGTAATCCGATCGATATCAATTCTTACCCTTGATTTCAACTTCTCTGCTAGCTCTTTTGTCCAGGCTACGAGTGGAAAAAAATGAAGCCAAGTACCACTTTGAAGCAGGAATGCTTATCAGCGGCCAGTCGCACACCCATTCGTAGCCTCTCTCCATCCAAGTCCCACTCCAGCGTAAACACAATTAAGGTAAAACGTGAACCTCATCTCGATTATAAGGCACGTTTGGAACATCAGCCGAGGGTACGACGCCAGAGCTCGCTGAATGATTCAGAGGCGCTGGCCCACACATGGACCGCTCAGTTCAACGAGCTGTCCATGCCCCAGAAGGTACTGGCCCGCAAGCTGATCTCGGACATTCTCTACTACGGCTGCATGGAACAGTTGGATCATAGTCATGTCACCCAATTGCAGAACATGATGATGCGAAACACTTCTTCGCCGGAGATCGAGAATGGGTCTCCATCTCCATGTGCCAGCAAAGTTCATTATGTGGAGGAATACGATGAGGCAGTCGATGCTGACTGATTTAAGAAATTCAAGTCACTGTACCTATAGACTAGAAATTAAGGAACCACAAGTATTTTGTCATACAAATAAAACGTTAATTTAAAACTATTTCATCAATTCATTTTTATACCCTGTACCCGTAGGGTAAAAAGGGTATATTAGGTTTGTGCAAAGTATGTAACATACAGAAGGAAGCATCTCCGACCCCATAAAGTATATATATTCTGAATCAGCATGACGAGAGAAATCGATCTAGACATGTCCGTCCGTCTGTCCGTCCGTCCGTCTGGATGAACGCGAGGATCTCAGAAACTATAAAAGCTAGAATAACCAAAGTTGGCATCCAGATTTTCCTAGATCCGAGTAAGGACGAGTTTATTTTTTTTTTTTAAATTTTCCCCCCTTCCCCCGCTGCAGAATTTCGTCAATAGCGTCCACATTTCAAATGCTACCTAAACCAAACTTTGCACACATAATTTATATATAATTGTCTACTGTTATTATATATTATATATTATATTTTATTCAATTCTGTCAATTCTAAGAAAAGTTATTAGCGAAACAAATTCTCGCCAGTACAACCCCCCCAAACTGCAGCAACAAGTTCGCTCTTCTTCTTCCTCTTTTTGCTGCTGCTATGGGCGCATATAACTCAGTGACGGAAGTTTACCTGGGTACAGGGTATTACACTGTCGGGCTTGCTCGACTGTAGCGTTCTCTCTTGTTTTAGACTAACTTAATTTTAAAATGGAAACTAATCATCTACTTTTCTATTTGTTGTAATTTTGAAAAAAAAAACAATTTTATAATTTTTTTTCCGAAAAGTACAGTTATAAAATATTGTTTAAGTTTAATACATTTTGACGAACTTTAAAAGGAAAGTTGCATGTCAAGTGGAAGATGAAATGTATTAATAGGATCTATTAATATGCTTATTAATCCGTTTTTTGAGAAAAACTCCCAAGACAATATAAGTAAATACATTATTACATTCGGATATTTCTTATAAAAATGGTAAAATGAGGAATATTCTTATAATTGTTGTTAAATTTATAAAAACTACAGGAAATTGCTTGACACATCTTCGAGAAGGAGGCTCTTGCACAGACATGGATGTCTAATTAGTCGATAAATGTATCTGCTAATGAACCTATGCTATGGAACGCTAATCATGGTAATACAAGTATATAGATCTTTTGACTAGACACACAGCAGGCTTCGAATTTTAGAATGTACAACTCATACTTAATTTGTTGAATCATTCGAGTATTCCCATTGTTTTGCTTTACATAACCATCATACATAATACAATGATTATATAACGTGCCTTATTTACTTTCGGATAAGACATCCAAGGAAATTTCGGGGAAATGTTTATTTTGGGAAGATTTGGGTGGATGGCCATTTCGGCTTTACTACATTTCATAGCATTAATGCTTAATACAATTATTATAAAACGTGTCTTACCTAATATGACTTCCAAGGTCACTTCAATATCACTTTCAATTACCATCAGCAACGAGGAAATTTCGGGGAAATGTTTATTATGGGAGTCATTTAGGCATTTCTAATCTTAATGGGCTTATATATTTGCAGCTGAACTAATTTGTGAGATTGATCCGGGCTAACAGAGTGAGAGAGAGAGAGAGAGAGCGAAAGGGAGAGGGCTAGAAAATTAGCAAATAAATGTGCGTGGCTGAAATCAAAACAAATTAACAACATTTATTTGCAACAATAAAAAGTTGGCCATTGAGTGGGTTCGGGAATTGAAAAACTTTTTCCATCCGGGCCATGGCAACTAAATCGAAGACACGAATACCAAAAACAAATGACACTTTGCCGCTGTGGGTGTGCACCAAGGACGTGGGGGTGGGGGTGCTGTTGGTGTTGGTGTTGCTATTACTGTTGATGGTGTGGGTATGGGAATAGGAATGGGTGTGGGTGTGGATGTTGGCAACGCATAAGGAAATGCAAATTTATTGGCATTTAATTTAAAAGAGAAACAGTAACACTAACACAATGAGCCCGCATGCTCTGCAGTGCTCAGACCTGAAGAAAGAAAGACCCTCATAATGCGCACAAAGTTTGCCACTCGTGCAACAACAACAATAACAACAACAACAAACGCTACGAACCACAATAACAACAAATGCGGCATATAAACGAGCGCATAATGAGCTGAAGTTGAAACTTCAACGCGCATGGATGGATGAGTGGGATGGATGAATGGATGGATGGATGGATGGATGGACGGACGGATGAATGGATGTTGGTGGGGGCAGGGCAGATAGCAAGTGCGAATGTATAACAAAGCGCAAGAAGGAAGAAAATCGCATTTAATGCCTAAATATAGTAGCTCAGCGTGCTCATATATTAAACACGCCTCCTTCCATGTCCGACCATTTCTGCCCGCCCAACCGCCCCCCAACATGTCGCCAGTGACAGTCACAGTCCCGTCCCAGTCCCGTCCCAGTGCCAGTGCCAGCCACAGTCACAGTCAGTGCTTTCCGGCAACGATATGAACGCCCAACGGCTATAAGTAACAGCTCGAGTCCCGCTTGTGGGTCCTGCGATGACTTTTTTATATGTTATCTTCCCCCTCCACCACCCAGCCAGTCCCGCTCTCCATCCCTTTCAGCATATCATGCAATTACTTTCCACTCAAATGTCAATTTAAATTGAAGTTTTATGCAAAAACCATACTTGAAATTTGCGCCTTCGTTGTCGGCAGTGGGTGCGAGTTCGGCAGCCTCCACAAGCAGCCGGTGCCCAAAAACAATACTCTACAAACACACATATACACACACACTCACACACACACTTATATATATCCGTACACACACGTCTTCAGTTCGCACTCCGCCTCAAGAACAGGCGGCATGAGCATGAACAGGATGCTGGCTTTCTTCAGTAGTATCTGTGTGTGTGTGTGTGTGTGTGTGTGGGTGTGTGTGTGATTGTGTACTGCTTTTTATGTGTTAGTTGCACATTTCGGAAATTAAGTTAAAATTTATTAGCACTTCTTTGTCGTCGTAGTACATGGATTGGTTTTTGCAGCTTGAAGGCACTTAAGCAGTTTTTCCATTCGTTTTGCCAATAACGAATTGCGAAGTCCGCTTTCCAATTCGTTTATATTTTATGCAGCAACTGTAGATGGGCTTCCAACAGGGTCGAGCATACACATTTTGGATAGTAGCGGCACAAGGTGGGACCAAACATTATCTTTTGCAGTAAATTTGTGACTAATGTCTTATTAATAAATTAATAAATTGTCAAGTATGATCAAAATTTTCCAAAAAGACGAAGTGCCATTGTGAGAAGTATTTTATAATTGAATAAATATTTCCCAGCTTTAAGAGAATAGTGCAAAAGGTATATAGAATTTTATATTCGAAAGTATATAGTAATATGTTATATGTATTTAAGGGGGTACGATATTCAATTGCGTTTCATTTAAAATACGTCATTTCTCAAACAACAAATTTAAAGAGCATATATCCAAAGAAAAATGTATTATCTTGACTTTTAAATTCAGTTGAGTTCAGTTCAGTTCTATTAGATTTTCGGAGCGTAATTTTAAAAATGTTTTCACACAAAATATATAGTAATTGCGTCTTCTTTAAAAAAAAATGTTCTTCATATCTTCATATCGTTATATAAAAAATAGTTATTCAAATAAAACTTTAAATATGAAAAACATAAAGATCAACAAATTAAATGAAGTATAAGTAAAATGAGTTAAAAATTATTCGATCTAAAATATTGTCAATATTGTTTATTTATCTCACGCTAGTTAGTAATATCTTATATATATTTTCAGATGTACTACTTCTCCTGCATTTTCTTATATCTTCAGGCTTAAAGATATTATTATAATTAGTATTATTATCATAATTAGTATTATGTTTATGTATTATGTTTAGTATTATGTTTATTCTCTCACTTCCACAAAAACAAACAAATATTTAAAAAATGAAGCAAGGAAGACAAATAATAAACATGAAATTATACATACATGCTCTTTATGCCTTTTGCTTTGCCAACAAATATGTGTACCTTTCAATATTCGAGGTAGGGTGCATAATGCAGTAAAGAATCTGAAGGACCCTCGAGGAGAACGTGCCGGCATACATGCACGAACATGCAGACTTATTTATTTGCGCATATGTATATGTTTTGTGAAGTGTGCACACTCGCATGTAGGTCTGTGTGTGTGTGTGAGTGTCCTGTCTCTTTGCGTGTGTATTAGTGCCTCAATATTACACAATTTCGAATCGCATCAAGTCGTTAAAAGTTTCGATTACAAAACGCGTTTCACAATTTGCCAGCAGCGTTGCTGAAAATGGGGCGTTGGGATCTCGTTGTTTCGCTCTTAAACTACTATTTGCCGGCGCTGGCGGGTGCTTTGACTTGGGTGGGGTGCGTGGGGAGGGGGAGGGGGCGAGTGAAAAACAAATATTGAAAGTGGCATTAAAAAAACTTTTTCAACGTAGATTTTATTGCAATGAATTTTCGCTCAAATGGCAAATCAATGTGTTTCCTTCTTGCAGTCAATTTTATGGTTGTATTGTTGTACAATAGTATGTATATCCTGGAGCATGTGTGGAGGGGGGTTGGGGTTGGGGCTAACACAGTCGGAGTGTCAATGCTGGGGTGTATAATCCAACAGTGCACTGTGGATTACAATTGATGATAATAAAGAAGTCATGTCGCAGAGCAAACACAATCCTTTTTAAAACCTTTTCGCCATTCCAATGCTTTTATTTTTATATATGTACAGATATTTTATTAAATAGATATATTTAGTTGTCTTAATAAAAGGTCTAAAACAAATAATTGCGCGTAATTGGAAAGCTTAAATAGAAAATTCATATTAGAGCTTAGCGTCGGCATAATTTTCTACTACATACTGCTACTACAATTGTAGAAATAATAATAGATATTTCTATAAATAAAATGTATACATTTTTCGTTGGGGCAAGTCTTCCTAAGATAAACCTGATATCTATCTGCCTAGCTCCAATTCAAGTATCAACATACTTATTTTCCCCTATGTGTGTATTCTTACTATTTCAATAAACATTTTTATGTACATAATGCATGTGTTT